ATTCGATCGACTGCATTTTCTCTCCTGCTCCAAGAAAGCGGTAGCTCTTCCTTGACGCCATTTGAAATTTTTGCAGAGAAATTTTTTGGAGAAGTTTGAAATATTAAAATGCTACTAGGGGGATCTATTATTCTTTGATCTTTGATTGCATGGGTTTATATAATGGGGATGGGTAATGGATAAGCTTGGTTTAATTTTAATTTTAACTTTTACTTTTGTACTATTTTGTTTACACTATATTTAATTAGAATTGGATGAGGATTCAAAGTGGACACCCTCTCGTGTTTATCGTGAACCCTTCCTTTTAACTCTTAATTTTTTAATGCACTTATATAAAGAGATTAGGGTAATAATTCGGACCTATGTAACACATTGTTCTTAATTCACGGTTAGCACCGACCCTCTGAATTAATTTAATATAGTCTTTAATATAAATAATACGCGAATTAAATTAATTCTCAGACTCATGATACTCAAGTCAAACTGAAATAAATTTACGAATCTAACAACACTAGTTTGGATTGGGTTGAGACACTAACCGTTGTCTAGCATTTTACTTGTACATTTGCATTAATTTTTTAAATATATTGAGCGTTTTCTCTAAGATCTTAGTTCATACTTCACTTGTATTCATAGTTATCAGATTTGATCAGATCATCGGTCCGAACAAATCTCCGAATTAGTGGTTCAACTAACTGATCATTGTTAGATCGTAATTTTGCTTTGGATTAATTGGGTAACTAACTGATTTACATTGAACTGGTTCCAATTTTTGCTAAAATCCACCCGGTTAGGATGATTATTAGTCAATGTTTTAATACTATGTAATTCAAGCTTTGTCTATTATATGTAAAATACAAAACTAATCCATCAAACTAGTACTATGTATTTGGTACATTGTGTTTATGTGTAAACTTCTTTTGGATTTAAGTATAAAATTATTTTATTGAAAGAATATATAATTGAAAATGAAAGAATATGTGGTTGAAAATGAAATTAGAAAATGAATCTGTAGAGAATGGGCTCAAACGGGGCTATATAACTCTATCCAAAATTACTTAGGGCCTGTTTTCTTTACCATTTTCAAGTCTTTTTCTATTTTCGATTTTCCAAAATAGTGAAAACGCGTTTTTGAAAACAAGTTAAAAATTTACAAAGAAAACTCAAAACGACAAATTTGTCGTTTTGGGTGTTTTCAATTATAATCAAGTCAAATTTTTCAAAACGTATTTTGAGTGTTTTCAAAACAATTTTTCAAAATGTCAAAAAGAACACATTTTCAATAATCTCAAAATTGACACTCAAAACACAAAATCCAAAATGAATTCAAAACACAAAATTGAAATACAAAGAGAACAACCCCTTAACTGTCGTAGAATGACACGATGGATCGTGGTGGATTGAACTTCATTTCTCAACTACTAAAAGGAATTTCACTATTGTATAAATAATTTTAGTCAATAATAAAATATTAAATTGGATAGCATGGACTTTATCCACTAAAAGAGTCATAAATACGTGGACCAATTAGAGAGTACCTCTTAACCACCACTAATGGAAAATTATGATCTGTATCGGACCAATAAGATGTCCTAACGAGATGGTTGGGTACCACAATGCTATTTAGTACTATTAATGTTACAACATCAATTTATATTAGGATTAATCTAGTTGTACATAACCTTCTACATAATGGTTCACATAATGGTGATGTGACAATCATCCACTTATTGATGTGTAAGTGTGAGAGTTGA